TAAAAAGTAGATTAGTTTTATATATAAAAAACTTTATTCAACCAATTTTAGCCTGATCAGTTATGTAGTACAATATTGGACAGTGAATAGTCAATTTTCAACCTTGTTTGTTATTATAATGTAGTGCAACAGAGTTAGAAAATTCTTTATCTGCATAGCAGTAGTAGAGAGTATGATAGTCTAGTATGCTTATGATAACTTACTATTCGTTATACTTCACAGATATACTTCTCAAGTGTGTTGGAAAGAAGACTAAAAATAATGTCTTGCATTCAAATTCTGTTAGGATATTCATCCAATATCCTAAGACAATTACTATTGGTTAATTCCTACTGGTCAATTTAGTGGTCGTCCTAGATATCAATGTCACGTACTCCAATGTTGTTTCGTATTGGTTGTTCCAACTCGATGTCACTTCGAATGTTACTTCCTATTGGTGGTCTTAACTGTCAATGTCATAGACTCCGATGTTGTTACCTATTTGACCAAAATGTATAAATACGCATTATCTGTGACGTTTTATGACCAGGGCCAGGACACGGTTCCGAATCCCTAGTCCAAGATCTTGATTCTCTTCTGGATTCGGACCTCGTACTTTCTGGATGCTTGTAGAATACAGGCTGCACTACATATCAAGTCTTGTCTTCTTTTACTCAAGATAATCGGATTTGAGTAGCATGTTGTGTCACCGGATCCTCGATCCTCGCTCTCGTTTTCCGACTAGGTAAACTCGTAATAGTTCAAGCATATCAAGTTGACGTGTTTACGTGTAGGCGTAACAAATTCATTGTCTTTTTTGAAATAGGAAAATGTACAATGAAAAGCCCAGTATAACCTATAAAGAATATTTCATATTTCATATGGACTATACATAGTTGGAGAAGATGTAGTTTACATAATCATCTTCTCTTACATCTTTTCTGGATATCAATATACTTTGATCACGTAATTGATTTTGATTTCCAAACATTATTCTCTGTTCGCAACAGCTAACTGACGTTCCGCTGGATACTACTTATCTACAATCCTGTGAATTGATCAAAGTTAGACAATAACACCTTTGGATGTCGGCTCAGTGATCTGGAAGGTTAAGAGTTCGCGTGCAAGACCGAACGTAATGGGTTCGAATCCTACGAGTAGCAAAAGTCATGCATGCACACTGCTGATCATATTGCTATAATACTGTAGGACGAAATGACCGTCCTCAAATGCTTCCAACTTTCTACTGGCAGTTCATGATTTCAATGCAAAACAATGTGAATAGCATCCACACCATACTAGGGACACTTTTAACCTAATACTTCATTACTGAGTTAGTTATAATCTATTGACTACAACTATATTCATAACACGGATTCATTCACATTTGACTAAAAAGTAATCTTCACATTCAAGTGTACTAAAAAAAATTAAAAAAAGGATTAATTTTTGTTTTCCCCTCTTTCTTTTTCTATCAACCGAAATAAGTGAAAACTAAATATCTATAATCAATGAGAGAGATTATGTGTCGATGAATTTATGCCAAAAGCTACTTTTTTTTTATTTCATAATTCTACAGTTAAAGTTTTCAAACTATCTCGATATATTTGCCCTTTATTTCTCTTCCTAGTCTTTTTTTCAAATAAATCAACGTTAAAAAATGTCAAATTTTTCTTTATTCAAGAGATTGTTTTTGTATTTTTAAAAAAAATATAATTGGTTTTAATCAATCTATATATACACTTGTGTGTGATAGAGATCACGCAGATCACAAATGATATTCGTCGACCGCCTATTGTGCTATCATCTATCTATGTGTGCATAGATAAGTGAGTGAGTGAATGAGTGAGTGAGTGAGTGTACAGTTAGTTAATCTTCCCAAAGATAATCGGTACATAATCCATGTTAATTTGATCAGAAAAAGTTATTAATAATAATTATTATTATTATAATTAACTTGTTAAATTCAGTGAAAAAAAAACAATTATACCATTGTTTTGTTGTTTGTATTGAATGGAAGGAATTCCAATGAAAGGAAAAAGAAAAGTGTTTAAGATAAGTGAATTTTTTAATGAGAAAAAAAGTCATTATTGTTTTTAAAGTATTTTCTCCTTTTTTCGGCTTCAACTTATCGTGTGAAATTATTTAGTTAATAATAATTAGCGTTTTTCCGTAGTGAGAAATTACGCTGACAAAATGGAGACAGACATGAGAAGAATGCATAACAATTGGGCGGAACTGGGAAGCTAGGTGGTACAGGATGACTGGAGAATGCTAGTCGGTGGCCTATGCTCCATAGCGGGTAACAGGCTCATGCAGTAGGTATATTTCTTTTTGAGATTACAAGCTCTTAAAATTAACTTTGATATGTGGAGAGAATTTACAACTCAGGTGGATGATTGTGGTGGTGTTTCGTTCTCTGAGCTGGATGTTTTGGTTGTGGAGGTTTTATTGTTCTTCTGAAAGCGGGATACGGTCAAAACAAAGGTGCAAACAACGACAGGTTTAAGGTCGACAGCAACCAATCAAGATCTAGGTTAACAGAACAAGCTATAGGTCAAACGTGGAGAATCACGAATACTTCACTTCTTCTATCTGAAGTTTGTGTTGATGATGTTGTTGTTCAGTAGAATAACAATGATGAAAGCTCCACAACCAAAACAGCATCCAGCTCAGAGCACGAAACACAAACACTATTTTCTGTAAATCATATTTATTCTTTTTAGTTAAAATCAAAATTTGTCTGAAGTTCTTTTAGTATTATTGCTGGTTAAAAGCATGAATACAGACGATGGATTCACGCTGGGTTAGTAATCATATCCAGTAGAAAATAACTTTGCTGAAACAACGCTGACCAGAAAAAAAATCATTTAAACTCTGATCTCGATGTTGAAGGATCTTTATTTAGAATGGTTATGAAGCCTCATGGTGAAACTCAGAAGTCAATATACCAACAAACAGATTAGGCTCAGAAAGATTAGTCAAATAACAGAAGAAACGAAGAAATACGAGCTGGCGATGCTTGAAATTTGTAAAGGTTTTTAGACGCAAACTGGACAGAAAATATTAGCAGTGCAAAGCATGAGATCGTACTACAAAGAACCAAATGGGTCACATCTGCATCAATAAACGTTCAAAAGGTCCATTGAGGATAAAAGAACAATGATAGGGGTTAGAATTTATTCTGGACGCTTCCAGGATGTGGCCGAGATGAAACACAAATTCTGGAAAGAATTCTCATGAAACAACATTCACAAACGTTTAATTTCACTTTCCCACGAAATAATAATAAACTCAACGAATTCAAGGTAGTTGTCTGTAACAGAACATATACTAACAGTCTATAACGAAGGATACCCCATCAAGAAACAAAAAGAAATTAAACTTTAACAAGTATGAGAACTACAGGAGTGCCACAGTATTATCAGTGCCAAGAAAAGTTTTCAACAGTGTGGTTAAATCGGAGGAAAGATTTTACATTATTGTGTGCCTAAAAAACTAGTCAACATTATACAGAATTACCACGATGGACTATCATGCAAAATCATGCACAAAGGGCAGCTCACAGATTCATTCCTAGTTAAGACCAGCGTTAGAGAAGGCTACTTACTCTCACCGTTTATCTTTCTTCTGGTAGTTAGTTGACTAAATTATGAAAACCTCAACATCTCAGGGTAGACGTGGAACGAAGATGACTTAGATCTCTTATCCCATATACAGTAACAAATACAAATGGAGACAGCCAGAGTAGCAGTAGCTTCTGCCACAGTAGGTCTCAGCATTCATAAAGAAAAGCGAGACATCTAAAAATGTCACATAGTGAGCAGCAACTCAATCACACTTGATGATGAAGCATTAACGTACCTGAGTCGAGTCAGTGCTAAATATTAGAGATCTCATGAAGATGTTAGGCAGAGAAACGTCGAATCTGACACTTATGTAGAATTACAAGCTAATCTTGATCAAGTAGTTCCCCTACACAAACGTGGCTTGACCCGACCGTCAGTTACTTTATGTACTGAAGTTGCGTTGATTTGGCTAATCCTACCCGTTTTCCGGAAATCATCTACAACAACAAGCATCATCTCTTCAGGTAGGCAGTGGTCGGTAATTTGTAACACACGTTTCAACCATCTTATTCGATGCAGATCCACAGCTTCATCAGATCAGTTCACCTTATTCTACTTATTAGTTTAAACATTTATTCAACCTCAGCATTAGTCATTAGATAAATTTTGTGTTTGTAACCTAAGCTTTGAAGTCTTGTATAATGAAATATAAATAAATTACACTTATCCCTTGACTAGTTTCATTTAATTAACAGTGAGTAAAGGGTGACGAAAAAACGGGTGACTTTTATTCAGTTTTAATTAATGTTTTGTCCGTTTACTTCACTTGAATTGACGCATAGATTGATACACTTCAGATCATCCGAAACAAAGTTAAACTGATAGGTTTAGAGAGCACAAACCAACTGTCTATGTGATAAACACGAGGGATAGTGGCTAGCAGTAGAATCCAGGACGTCCGCTTCGTCCGGTTGGGCACTCGTCGGCTGGATATATTTATAGCCCATGCCATAGTTGATCCTTGAATAAAAAGGCTCAAAGTGGTTTATAATAACGTAGATGTATCCATTGTTTGTCTTCTCTCAAATTCTAATCTCACGAATTCCTCATCACCTAAATCTTTCTCTTCTTAAAAATTTATTTCATTGGTTTATACTTCTCGAATCATATCTTTGAATCCTAATCTTTTTGATTACCGTTAATACTGTTACAACCCCTACTACTATAGGATTTGAATTGACAATTCCATTTCGTTCTGTTCTAATGTGCTATGGTAACTTGAACTGACGTAGATGATGCGTATCGGGTTCTACCTTGTAGCTGACTGACCGACGGACTGAAAACTTTACCATGATTGAATCATTCTCTCTCCGTATCCATCAAAAATGTATCAGTAATTATATTTGAAAATGCTCAAATAATAAAAACAAAAATTTCCGCAAATCAACTTACTTGAAATAAACCTTTGTAGAATATGAATGGATTTTTTCTTGTGACCACAAAATACAGTAATGCCAACGTACCAAGTAAGTGTATAGCTAAACCAGTCACAACAGTCACCATGTATAAACCTAATGCTTTAGCTGTATCACGTAGATTTTCAATTTCTAACATTTTGCCCAAAATTAAAAAGAATATACCAACTGGTGAATACCTAAAATAAATGAAGAAATGACATCATATTAGTGTAATTTTTTCAAATTTTCGCGCGCAATAAATCAAGCTGAAAACTAAAAGAAAAAAATCGATAAGCAGTTTGGAATTAATCGTATTGACATACATTGAAATGTTCGATGGATTACATGTCATTTGATTGCCATGGTACATCAATCTCATCAGCACTCGATTTCCTTAACATTACTGTCTTGGTGCAGATAATTTCCAACCATCATGGTTAATGATTCTAAAATTTCTCCAGTGATCTTTGTCCTCCACATTGTTCCGATCGAATGTATGTCCATAACTGTCGGTGTGTACTGATATAAGCGAAGTGTTGTCGTGGCGTTTGACTAGTAATTGGTGTTCACGTAAACGGAGCTGAAGAGGTCGTCCACTTTGTCCTATGTAGTGTTGCTTTTCACAGTCTGAGCAATTTATTTTGTAGATGTTATTTGGTGTTTCTTCATTTGTCATTTTGTCCTTTGGTCAACATAAAAATTGAATGAAGTGATTCTGTTGATTTGTGTGCTACACCTATTCCAAATGGTTTCAGTAGTCGTGCTGTATGCTCCGATATGTTTTTGATGTATGGTAGGATGATCCGTTTATTAGTTCCTGTACTTGATTTCGCTTCTGTTGATGGTTTCGGTTGATGTTTTTTGATGAAGTTGCGTGGATAGCCGTTCTTTTGGAAGATAGTCATAAGATGTTTTTCCTCATTTTTTAATGCTTCACGTGTGCTGCAATGTGTCTTCGCTCTCTTGAAAAAATTTTGTATGCAGTTGATTTTGTGGGTTCTTGGGTTGCTGCTACCATAGTTGAGAATTAGGTCTGTGTGGGTTGGCTTCCGTAATACTTGAGTTTCCAGTTTTCCTGTGTTAGTTCTGGTGATTAGTACATCCAGAAGTGATAGACTGTTGTTTGATTCCTTTTCCATCATGAATTTAATGTCATCGAAGACGTTGTTGATGTGATTGTAGATGTTCTCCAGCTCGTTCCTTTTGATGATGACGAATATGCCGTCTACATAGCGAAAAACACTACATAAGACAAAGTGGACGGCCAATTCAGCTTCGTTTACGTGAACACCAATTAGCAGTCAAACGTAACGTCAATTCTTCTCTTATATCAATACACACCGACAATAATGGACAAACATTAGAGTAGAACAAGGTGAAAATACTGGATAGGGGGAGGACAAAGATCACTGGAGAAATTTCAGAAGCTTGGAACTCAGGTCAATCAGTACTCAACAAACACATCGACATTGATTCGATTTATCCAACCAATCGGAAAAATCATTCGTGACATAGGATCAAGAAACAGATCAAAACAAAGGTGCAAACAACGACAGGTTAAAGGTCAACACCAACCAATCAAGATCGAGGTTAGCAGAACAAGCTTCAGGTCAAGCGTGGAGAAATTTGAATACTTCACTTCTTCTATCTGAAGTTTGTGCTGATGATGTTTTATAGTAGAAGAACAATGATGAAAGCTTCACAACCGGAACAGAATCCAGCTCAGAGAACGAAACATCACCACAATCATCCACCTGAGCTACAAATTTTCTCCACTTACAAATCTTTCATGCTTTCTAAATACGCCATCTCCCATTCACTGAACAGCTACACCTTAATTTTTTAATGGTACACGATCTGACTTCAATTTATACAAACAACTGAATATGCCATGCAATAAATCTTTCCTTCAATTTCCAATAGATCATTCTTAGGCAAACGTAGTTTGTGAGACGGTGATAATAAGAACCTAAATACTGATTCAGTTGGATGAATGTGGTATTTCAGGCGATCGATCATGCCGACAGTCACAAGGATAAAAGGCAATCGAGTCAACTCCATCTGATGAGGTAGGTAAGTGACAAGCGAAGTAAGAGATGCTTATATACTCATACCAAAGATATGAGGGAATAACAGACAAGGTCAAAAGACGTGTGATTAGTAGTGACTCCGTAAGGAAACGTTGATTTGTTTGTCCAATAGCTATGACACGTCCTGAGGGCTCAACATACAACTTAGTACACACATTATAGATTTTAACAGAAATATTCCTTGTAATGAATATGTTAGTTCACAAAATTCCAAGATACATATGTCTGCAGAAAAATTTTAACAGTTATACAGTATTCACTATGAATTTAGATTTTTGCATTGACAATAAAAAACTAATCAGTGTCTAACAATATTTTAACATGAATAAAAATGTGAATACTGTTTTCGGTACTAGTTCATAGAACTCAATAGAACAAATAGGAATAAAATTGAAATCGATGACTGTTTAGTTCACTTCATTTTTAACATCGAATCAATCAATAAAACTTGAATGTCTACCAAGTAAACAGTAGTTGACATCAGTCGAATCAATAATTATTTATGTTTTTACACATTGCAATCATCAATCAGTCATGATTAGACTAACATTAGAAACCTGGAAGCACTAGACGGCCATTTCGTCCTGATATATGGGACGACTCTTCAACAATGCACATCCAGGACTCCTGTTGCTCACAGGATTCGAACCCTGGACACTCGTTCTTCTGCACGAAAGCCTAACTTCTGTAGGCAGTAAGTATGGAAGACAAATTCCTTAGATTGATCAGAGTTAGATAGTAACACCGCTGGATGCCGGCTCATGGTTTCAGAAGTTAAGCGATCGTGTGCAAGACTAAAGGTCCTGGGTTCCACTCCTGTAAGTAGCAAGAGTCATGGTGCGCACTGCTAATCAGTCCCATATGCCAGGACGCAACGGCCATCTAGTGCTTCCAGGTTTCAAATGTTGGTCTAACAATTGATTGATCCATCATTTCAATGTTAATCAACGATCTCCATAATGATATTTCGTTTCAGTAACTAACAATTCATCATAATAGATTTCTTTCACTTACAACATAATCACTTGTACCATTCTCATGACAACTTCATTAAGAATAGAGAAAAATTGTACCATTGTCACTGCACGATCACCCATTTGACCCAATATTATACCGAAAATAATTGAAAATGATACCAATCCTAGATGGAGAAAAAAAAGAGAAGAATTGATTTTTAATTAAATAATATATTGCGAGTACAATTTACACTTTTCAATTAAAACCAAAAATGTCAGGATTTTCAATATAAATGTGAAGACAGTTCTACTGTATGGAGTGGAAACTTGGAGAACTATCAAAGCTGTCATTCGGAAGATACAAGTGTTTATTGACAGTTGTCTACGCAAAATACTGAGGATTCGTTGGCCAGACACCATCAGCAAAAATGTACTGTGTGTGAGAATTAACCAGATTCCAGTGGAAGAGGGAATCAGGAAGAAGCGGTGGAAGTGGATAGGACACACATTACGAAAAGCACCTAACTGCGTCACAAGATAAGCCCTCACATGGAACCCTCAAGGTCAAAGGAAAAGAGGAAGGCCAAGGAACACATTACGCCCAGGAATAGAGAAAGGCATGAGAAGAATGAACAAAAATTGGACAGAATTGGAAAGGGAAGCCCAGGACAGAGTTGGTTGGAGAAAACTGGTGGGCAGTCTATGCTCCATTGAGGGGTAGCAGGCGTAAGTAAGTAAGTAAGTAAGTAAGTACAATTTACACTATAGTTGACTTTTAAGATTACATTTTGTTATTAAACGAATAATTGCAAACTTACTTTGGTTTATGATTTCAATGAAATCCAACACTCTTCAATTATCATATGCCTATTAGTAACTAGCTTCGAGGGGAAATTTCCAGAGTTTCAGTGAGAGAGAGAGAAATCGTGATCAGTGGAGCGAAACGGTGTTGAGTGTGGGACAGTTAATTATGGAATGTCGACTCAGTAATCCAGGTTTTTTAGGCATTCTCATGTACGACTGAAGGTTCTGGATTCGATTCCCATAGTCAAAAGAAACGGCTGTACAGTGTTTCCAGGTTTTTAATGGCGGCCTAACCAAAATTAGTCCATTATTTCAATGAAATCCGAGCACTACAATACTAAACTAGGATGTTATTTACCAATCTACATCGAAACTTTTCTCATTTCCTAATCTGTAACTACATCGTTAAACTGTGAAAAAGAAATCAATGGTTCAAGAACAGCAGTTATTAACTAACTGTCTATCATTAAACTAAAAATTCCCTAACGTACAACGATTGATTGATCACTGAGTAGTGACCTGTGATATGTTTGCTCTTTAAATGCTAATCAATGACCATTGATCAACGGGGCTAAGTGACATGACATCACATGCACTGTGTTGAGATATTATGCAGTTGGATGCAGTTAAAGTGTTTCCTGTAGACTAAAATAGGCTAATCTTGATTAAAGAACTGAATTTTGCAGTTTATAGTTCATTGTTTGTTTGGAATGCAATGAAAACAGTAGTTAAATAGTTTGTTAAAACAAGATAACGATGGGGCTTTTTTACATTTTAGTATCATAATAATTTAGACTATATGACTTCAGGTATATATTAAACTTTCCCACGAAATTTATAGAGCATGCTTATTTTGAAATCTACATTAAAACTGTCCCTACCTGCCCTGGTACAGCCGAGAATAGGAAGAGTCCAGTCTCCTACTCTGAATACCCTCATATGGCCACGCATATTCAGCCACTACCAAGAACGTTCTACTCAATGCCTTGTAGTTGCACAGCTGTTTAAGAAATTTCAGGCGCTTAAACGAAGTTTATGGATACTGAGGATCAGCCTAGGGGTCTTAGAAAAGCCTCTTCCCAAACCAGTGGTTCACATGAGTTCCAGGATCTTGATTAATCAAATGGCTTATGAACCTACTGTTTATCAACGACTACTATGACAGCGCATCTCCTGACGTTGTTCCATTGACTTGTAAAATCCTAAGGAAACCACCTGCCTCAAATTGGGTAGCCGGACAGTATCCTAGCTTATACATGAATTCATTGGTCTGTGAGACTCAGAAATATATATTTAAGTGCCCTTATATACCGATAATTATGAGCCTAAATAAATAGAAATTATATTCACCTCATTGATTGTATATGAAAAATAAATTACCAGTCTTTTCTTAGAATGAAATTTATCCTTAAACATAACAATTTTCGTCTTTTTTCTATCGCACATAATTAGGTAAGTATATATATACATCTTGTGACGAAGCCTTTGGACAGTTTCGTCACATAAATTACCCAATAATAAATATCAAGCTAATCGTATCACGTTTTACGTAGTTAAAACAAATGTTATTTAGAACAAACTAAACAATATTCAAAATGTCAACTACAACAACACATCACTGTATCAATCAGTAGTATTCAACTATTAGATCAAAAAAGTTTATTCAATCACATTTTGTACAACGATGCTTAGCATCGTTTTTATTCGGTATTCTGCAGCAATTCGGATGACTCTCCCGGTCTCCTTTATTGTAAGCACATTCCATGTACCTAAATTAATAGTTGCTCTGGTTATCAGAAAGAGGGGCATCCGCCTCGTGACTTCGGAACGAACTCAGCTTTCATTCATAAGATGTCATAACTCTTCTAAATGAATACCTTATTACTACTCCAAAGGCAGAGTTTAAATGATTGTTAGACCGCCATTAGAAACCTGGAAGCACTGGACGACCGTTTCGTCCTGGTATGAGACTCATCATCCTGCGAAGTGCAGGAGTTGCGGACGCGCACTGCTAATTAGTCCCATGCCAGGACGAATCGGCCGTCCAGTACTTCCAGGTTTTTATTGGCGGTCTAACAATGATTGGTTGATGATTTTAATGTTCAACAAACACTGATCACCATAACTCTAATTTCTTTTATGGTTAACGTTCTTCTAGCGAGTTAGTTTTCTACGCGTTAAGGTCGCCAACCTCATGCCCAACTCTCCTTCTTTATCTAGATTTGAGACAGAGAGGCTCCAAGTGGTTTGTTTGGAATTCTAATCAAACCCTAAATAGACCAGTTCAACTGACTAAATGACCTTGCACTTCTGCTTCTCATCTTCGTCCCTTTAGTTTCTTTCTTATTCTTAAATAATTATCACTAAATGTTTGACCTTCGTTTATTAAAATAATAGTAACAATGATAATAATTAGGTATTTGTTCATCTTTTAAATTGATTTAATAAGTGCAAAGTTTCAGTAATAATAAGTCTTTTGCTTCCTGATATCTTTTTTCCATTGTTTCCCTTTAATCCCTTTTGTGTTTTAATTGATAAATCACTTCATTTAATTAGCTCCCTTTCATAAATTTCAAAAAAAAATTCCAGAATAGTTATTCCAATAGAATAATATTCATTCATATTTTTTTTATTTCTTAAGTATGTCCTAAAGAATTAAGAGGTTAAAGGAGACTATTACAATCTAATGCTCAATCTTGTGTAAAATTCCACTGAAATCATGAACTGATCAATGTTGAACCACCAATAGAATCATGGAAGTACTGGATGGCTGTTTCATTCGACTGTGGGACTCGTCCGTAGTGTTCATTTATGACCCCAGCTAACAGGACCTTTGATCTCGGATGCGAAAGCTTAAAATCTAAACCAATTAACCGGCATTTAACGGTGTTAATGTCCAACTTCGATCAATCCAGGGTCTTGCGCAACCTCAAGGTTAAGCGTTTAAGTGAGATCGAATGTCATGGGATCGATTCTTGTGAGTTGCCATAATCGTAGATACGCACTGCCGATCAGTCCTACCAGACTTCTAATAGTAGTCTTATTGCACAATACATCCAATCAGTTTCTGAACTCTAGATAATATATATATATATATATATATATATATATATTTAGCACTGGTAATCAGTACCATATAGATTTAAAATTGAGGACATAGTAGAGACTGAAGGCTTTAAATTTAATGTTTGTAAAGCTGCACATAAGTTATTCGTGAACATTTCCAGTTCAGCCCAACATAACTGTACGTTATATATATTTCTTAAGTGAATTTGCTTGATTGCATAATTTTGCCTTTGTAGTTCTGTTCTCATTCTTTTCGTGTGGTTGAGGTTTTACGATCTGTTATCTAATTATGTAATTACTTAAGCCTGTTATCCCCGTTGCAGTGTAGGCTACCGACCAGCATTCTCCAGCCGAATCTGTTCTGGGCTTCCCTTTCTAGTTCTATCCAATTTTTGTTCATTCTTCTCATGTCTGTCTCCGATTCTTTGATCTTCTTCTTTTCCATTGTCATTGACAGTTCCAAGTGAGGGCTTACCTTATTGTGCAGTTGGGTGATTTCTTCAATGTATGTCCTATCCACTTTCAGCGCTTCAACCTGATTTCCTCCTCCTCCGCTAGAATCTGGTTTGTTCCATCCCACAGTAGGTTGTTGCGGATAGTGTCTGGCCAACGGATCCGAAGTATTTTACGTAGACAACTGTTGATAAACTACACTCAATACGTTGTATTGTTTTCTGACGTTTATACACAGTTCAGTACTATCTCATAAAAGTTATCAAGATGTATGATATACAAAACATATAAATTATGTTGAAAAACATTCCACTACAGCTGTAATGATATCATCAAGTTTGACATGTTCTTTTTGTTCATTTATCGATTGCACTTACTCACAGCACTGTCAGACATGATGATGATAGTTGTAATCGGTACTTTGATTACAAGTTAAAACCAGTCATATCTTAAACAATTTAAACATATTTCTAGCAAAACGAAACATATTCAAAATATTAATAATAGAAAGTAACACTGTATGAAATAACATAAGTTTACACATTAAAATCATCAAATAATCATTGTGAGAAGACGGGACTAGTGGAGTTCAACCCTGTCGATTGTAGACGGTACCTACCGTACACAAATGAGTGAGGTCGCACAAAATCCCTAGATTGATCAGAGGCAGACATTAACACCAGCCCAGTGGTCCAGAGTTTCGATGTTCACGCGTACGACCGAAGGTCCTGGGTTCGAATCCTGCGAGTAGCAGGATTTGTGGATGCACACTGCTGAAGAATCCCATACCAGGACAAAACGGCTGTCCTAAGTTTTTAATGGCGGTCCAACAATGATTGACTGATGATTTCATCGGGTAAAATCACTGGTCATCATAACTCAAAAGTATAATTTTAGCAAAAAAGTTTTGTTCTCACCTAAAACATTTGTACTATCCACATATTTCGGTTTAACAGCTTCATAACTAAACAGTTTCATTTGCTCTTCTTTAGTTAATGCACCTTTAGTATCATTCGTTAATTTAACATATTTTGGACGTTTAACAATGGTCACATAACTACTTTGTTGTTGTTGTAAGCACGCTTGTACAACATTCTCCGGAAATAAATTTCTGTGAATATAGAATTTATAAATAACAATAGAAAAAGCGAGAAGTTTATTGAACAGCATGAAAATATTTGTAAACAACTTCGTGAAGTTATACATTAACACCGCTGGATGCCGGCTCAGTGATCTGACGGTTAGGCGTTCGCGCACAATACCGAAGGCCGTGGGTTCGAATCCTGCGGGGTGCAGGAGTCGTGGATGCGCACTGCTGAGGAGTCCCATACCAGGATGAGGCCGGCGTCCAGTGCTTCCATTTTTCTACTGGTGGTCTAACATTGATAGGTTCATAGATTCAAAAATAAATATTTGCGAAAATTTAGTACTTTTTTTGGTTCAAGAAATCCAAAGATTTTGAGCATATGATTCGTTTGTATCGGTTGATAGAGCTTTCCCATTAGATAATTAAGAATGAAATTGGCCAATCACTTCGGTAACATGTACATCCTATGGTAATTACCTCGATATTACAAGTCATAAGCATTAATAGTACAGATGGATGGTGGCCGGCGATGGAATCCCGGATGCTTGTTTACGAGCTATTCGTGACTCGTCAACTCGATGTACCTGAACCCTGGATTGTTAGGATATTCATCCAATATCCTAAAATAATTCGATTGGTCAATTTTTATTGGTCGTTCAAACTATCAATGTCACAGACTTCAATGTTGTTTCCTATTTGACCTAACTGTATAAATACGCATTTTCTGAAGCATTTTACGATCCGGACTATGACCTGAATCCCTAGTCCGGGATCCTGATTCTCTTCTGGAATCGTACCTCTTACTTTCTGTATGTTTGTAGAATACATGTTCTACTTCATATCGTCTTCTTCTTTTAATAGGTGTTTGGGACACTCGGATTAGAGTAGCATGTCGTGTCACCGGATCATCAGTCCTCGCTCCCGTTTTCCGACTAAGGTAAACTTGTAATAGTTCAAGCATATCAAATGACGTGTTTACGTGTATGCTTAACATGGATTCCACTTCAAGCCATCACCCATTTATGATAATAAGGCTTATAATCTACAGACAATATCAAGGCGGTCCCCACAGGGTGTACATATACCAATTGAGACTGGTCGATTGCACTCACAAACATCAATGAAAATATTCAAACAACCAGTACAAATGAATTAAACTTTAGCCCACTACATAAGACATTGGTTATCTGTGCTCCATATCTTAGTTAGAATCATGCGATAGTATTCAAAGTGAACAGTGTTGGGTTCGAATGTAAGTTGGTCGAGATAGACTCAATCATTATGATGTTTATGATTTCATGACCAAAGAAAGTATCCCTTCATTAGACACAAATTTCCATAGGAAGTCTCCTGATTATGATGATTTGTTGAGTATATTTCAAAAACTTTTATTTTGTATTGTGCATATGATCGGTAAGTTGTAAGCGATTCGGATAGCATCACTGATTAGCAAGGAGGATCTGATGCCAGTGTAAAGACGCTGATTGGTAAAGCAAAGACAATATTTCTACAGGTGAAGAACATTTGGAACCCAAAACAACTGTCGGCTAACACTAGAGTCAGAATTCTCAATACAAATGTCAAGTTTGTCCTACCGTATAGAGTGAAAACTCGGAAAACCACGAAAACCATCATCTGGTTGATACAAGTGTTTATTATCAGTTTTCAAGGCAAGATATTGAGGATTCGTTGGCCAAACATCACCAGAAACTACATCTCATGTCAGAGGACAAATCAGATTCTAGTTAAGGAAGAAACTATAAAAAAGCGTTTGTGGAACACACCTAACTGAGTCACAACACAAGTCCTAATTTGGGTTTCTCAAGGCCAAAGGAAAAAAAGGTCGAACACGGAACACACTGCATCGAGTATTTTAGACAGATATGAGAAGAGTGAACATGAATTGAGGACGATTGGAAAGGAAGGCCTAGGACAGAAATGTTAGGAGAGTGCTGTTCGGTGGTGTATCCTTCATCAGTGGTAACAGGCGTAAGTAAGTTATTACATATTTGAATGGTTCAATAGAATTTACAGTGACTTTGATATCCAGTAAGCCAATGAATATTCGTTGGCCAGACACTATCAGCAACAATTTATTGTGAGAGAGAACAAACCAGATTCCAGTGGTGGAGGAGGAAATCAGGAAGAAGCGGTGGAAGTGGATAGGACATACACACTACGAAAAGCATCCAACTGCGTCACAAGACAAGCCCTCACATGGAACCTCAAGGTCAAAGGAAAAGAGCAAGGCTAAGGAACGCATTAGGCCGAGAAATAGAGGAAGACATGAGAAGGATGCACAAAAATCGAACAGAATCGGAAAGGGAAGCCCAAAACAGGACAGGTCGGAGAATTCCGGTCGGTAGCTTATGCTCCATTGGGGGTAACAGGAGTAAGTAAGTAAGTAAGTAATTTTATTCAACCGCCTGTTTGTAAATGTACGATTACAAACTACCATGGCATGTTAATATACAATCTTTAGAATACCACATAGATTATATAGGGTTTATCAAATATGAAAGTCAATATGTACAAAGATTCTCTACATAGAAATTTCCCAATACACATGAAGTGTAGTATTTTTTTATTAAAGGCGTTAATTTTACTGCCAAAGATAAATCACATCGGTCTATTTTTTTTTCAAAATAAAACCCTAATATCATCAAATGATGAATTGGCTTTTTTAACGAGTACACTTAAAAATGAAAACCAAAACAAAAAAAAAGATGAATGACGTAACGAGTAAAATTTTTCAAACTAAATTACCACACTAAAACACTTAAATTTTTATCATTTCATTAAAGATTGTTGAAAAATTTGGAACAAATTTTTGAGGAAAAAAAAAGCCGTTTCAAAAGTAAGTAGGTAAATAAAATTCAAGTACTGTACTTAGTGAATGCAGGATTGAATTAAGTAAACATTCTCATTTAAAAAAAACTGAAATTAGAAGTTTTTATTAAGAGGATTCATTTTTTGTTCCCTACTCTGAGTTGGTTATGGTTTGATTGTGGAGTTTTCATTATTGTTCTGCTTAACATCTTCGGCACAAATTTCAGGTAGAGAAGTTGTCGAAGTCATTCAATGTCTAGCTGACATGACTTGTCTTACTTGTCTTTTGACCTTGTCACTTATTCGTCGCTTGTATTCATGTGTGTGCATGCCTATCTCGCTTTTTAAATGTCTGTCTTATTTTTGTCTGACTATAAATTCTTAGTTATGCTTTATCTCTCGGAGTTGACTCACTAGCATTCTCCACTTCACCTCATCCATTCATTCGCACAGTCGCCCGCTAGTGTACAGCCTGCCTTATCTGCTTGTGGTCTGCTGTCCCATTTTGTGGTGTGCTAAAAATAAACGAATTCCACACTTCGTATTTGCCGTCAGGCGTTATTTGGTGATGGCTGCCTAGACGAGCGGATTACAAAGATTAAGAACACGCTCTAACTGGCCACTACAAAGTGAAGTATTCGAATTTCTCCCCGTTTGACTCGTAGCTTCTTCGGTTGACCTTGATCCTGATTGGTTGTTATTGACCTCGAACCTGTCGTTGTCTGCATCATTATTTTGATCAAAGCAGGGAGGATACAAGTTTCGATTCGGAGAACTTCACTTTAACCTAAAGTTTTTATTGATGACGATGTTGTTCAGAAAAGTAATGATGTAAGATCCACAACCAAACCACATCCAGCTCTGAAGACGAAACTTCATCATAATCATCCACTTGAGTTACGAATTTTTCGCGCCATTTCAAAATTTTAAAATTAATCAAACATTTGTGCAGTAGCGTGTTTTTAGAGTGTTACTTTTCGACGGGATAGGCTGTCTAACTCCATGCCCGACCCTCCTACTTTATCCGGCCTTGGGACCGGTAGTAACCAGAGAAGACCTGCGGGAGAAGTTCTTAGACAGTATGAAAAACAGTTTATCATAAAATAAAGATTGAAATTAAATCTAAAAATAATGATTTTAATTAATATCTTTTTAAAAACGAGGGATTTTGAATAGATTTCAATTTTTTCTTTTTGTAACTTTTCGGCATTATGAAAAGCAAATGTTAAATATTCAACAGCCATTTAAATTCGAATTGTCGTTTAGATTTTAAAAAGTCGTTTTATTAGTTGGAATCGTGACAGAATGGAAGAGAAGTTATGGAATTTCTATCACCCTCAATCTTATAACATTTATTCATGCAAATTTCAAACACTAGTAGAATGATGTGTATTGGGATTCCTCACCTGGCTCCTCCACTAAAATCTGATTACAATGCGTAGATGACATTTTTGTCATCATTAAACGAGAACTGTTTGAAAGTCTCTATCATGCATTATATAGTATTACAATAGTCAAGTATATGGAATGTCACCGTATGAATAAAACGAAACAATACAAAAATCGACACATTCTGTGAGAGATCTAGATTAAAATATGTCATATACTCTTTCAATGATCGTCATTATTTATAGAGATAAGGGATAAACAGACTGAATTCAATTTCATTGAAGTCTTGAATCGATCAGTGTTAGATCATCATTAAAAAACTGAAAGCACTGGATGTCCTACATTATGGCACTCATCAGCAGCAAGTACCCTCGACCGTCGCTTGCGGAAACGATACCTAGAATCTTCTGTTTTGTGCACGAACGATTGAACTCTAAACCACTGAGCCGATATCTAACAGTGTTCATGTCTAACTGTAATTTTTATGTTATCTACACCTGTGCATCTTTAAAAAATGTTTGAAAAAAATCGACTGAATTGTATAAATGAGATAAGGATATGATAACATTGTAGTCATTCTTGACAGTAAAGAAATAAATGTCAACCAAAAATGAACATTTAAACACACACACACACACACAACAGACCATATTGATTTATGCATGTCTGTCATTGTTGAATCACTACATCACTAATATATCTATCTATTGAATACACAATTACAGTGGTGATGTATACATCTGTATAATAAGCATAGATGTTCTATTCTGGAGCAAGCAGTTGGTGAATACAATAAGCCTTTAACAATAATTATACTATTCTTTCTTATGTTAATGTAATCAGTCTTGTTTCGGCATAAATTGTA